GAAGAGGCCCCGGGCTTGAGATTTTCAGCTCAGAGATGGGGTACATTTCTGATACAAAGCTGGATCATTCAAAAAAAAAAAAAAAAAAGCCATCTTAAACAAACAAACAAAAACAGGCCCTAGTTATTTAAAAAGAGTATGAGTAGGTAGTCAAGTCCCCCGTCAGCTGGCTTGGGTACTAGTTAAGGATCCCAACTAGGCATTACATGCCAGTTGGGGAGCAGGGAAGGATCCAGAGAAACTCCAGTAACTCTTAGCCTCCCAGGTTAGGAGGCTGTTCCAATAGGACAGACTAATCCTGACCATATCACCAATGAGCCTGGAGCCTCTGGTCCCAGTGGCAGCATGGTCAGAGTGACTCCACATCTTCCTGGAATGTAGACTAAGGTCTGTAGATATCTACCCAACTGTCTGACCCAATTTTTTTGAGAAGAGAGCTGGGGATGACTATAGAGAGCCTGATAATCATTCAAAATACCTGGGATGAGGCCAAAATCAATGTAAGGATTAATGAGCTCCTTCCAGCTTCTCCCAGCCCTTTCTGATATTTTCTAACATCCCATGTAGAAGACAGGTTGAGTAGGAAACCTAATGTAGAAGAGAGGTTGAGTAGGAAACTCAAGTGCACCCAGACCTGTTTTCAGTAACTGCTTTTGTTTTGTTTTTCTTCTACTATATTGTCCCCACCCATCTTACCTGAATGTGTCCATCATGCTGTCTTTTACTGGTCTTCCGTACATTCTAAAAGCTGTTTATGGGGTGAAGACCAGAGAATACACTTGGTGCTAGAGGTCAACGTTAAGTTGGGTATCCTAAGGGCCCTGAGCTAAGTCTTCCCAGGAGTTAGAGTCTGAAAATGCAAATACCAAAAGGAGCCATGGCCAAAGGCAGAAGCAGGGCAGCATCTAGCAAGAGCAGACCCTTGATAAATGCTCCTTCCCTTCACTTCTCTTGGCCTCATTTCCTCATCTTTAATATAGAGACAATAATAAATACATTCAATGGCATTTGTGAGGACTCAGCACGAATACATTAGCAGGTAACTTCCCATCACCATCACCATCACCATCACCACTGTGTCTGGCAAAAAAGTTGCTCAGTAAATTTTAGCTCTCTCAACACTTTCTTTTTTTCTTGTCTTCTTTTTTTTTTGTCAGAGTCTTGCTCTGTCACCCAGACTAAGTGTAGTGTAGTGGCAGTGGTGTGATCACGGCTCATTGCAGCCTCAACCTCTTAGGCTTAAGGCAATCCCCTACTTCTGCCTCCCAAGTAGCTGGAACTACAGTTGCATGCCACCATGGCCAGCTAATTTTTAAAAATTTTTTGGTAGACACGGGGTCTCACTGTGTTGCCCAGGCTGGTTTCAAACTTCTGACTTCAAGCAATCCTCCCATCCTGGCCTCCCAAAATGCTGGGATTATAGGCACCTGGCCCGTTTTCCTTTACACTGTATCAGAAGTGGTGATTGAAACATTTAATAATCTAGATGCAACAAGCACTTTCCAATCAAAACAGGCACTGGCTCCAATGCCAGGGCAGGGTCCTAGAAGCCCCCTGCAGAGCCAGGTCTTAACTCTTTTATTGCTAAGGTCCTGGAAGGTCTGGGGAGCCTGAGGGAAAGGGCAAAGGTGGCTAGGACATGGGGCACGCCTAAAGACACAGATGTTTACTAACTGGTTCCCAGGTGAACACCAACCCTGCATTATTCACAAGAGTCTTCACAATCTGGATCAAACTTCTCACACTCTGCCAGGTGCAGTGGCTCACAACTGTAATCCCAGCAGTTGGGAAGCCCAAGACAGGAGAATTGCTTGAGATTGAGAAGTTTGAGACCAGCCTGGACAACATGGCAAAACCCTGTCTTTACAAAAAATACAAAAATGAACTGGGCATGGTGGTGCATACCTGTAATCCCAGGTAGTCGGGAGGTGAGGCAGGAGGATCACTTAAGCCCAGGAGAGCAAGGCTGCAGTGAGCCATGATCATATCACTGCACTCCAGCCTGGGCAACAGAATGAGACTTTGCCTCAGAAAACAAAAATAAAAGGGAGAATGTTATGTACAGTTTTTCCAAAAAGTTCCTTGGCACTAATAAAGCTTAGAGAACTACTAGTTGGTAAGTGATGGCCGTAGGTAAAACAAGTCTAAGCAGGTCGTTTCAGTAGCTACTAGAGGAAAATGGTTTCAGGTTACAAAGGCAGTTTCAGCAGCTAGACTTGTGCAGAATTACATTGTTGGAACAATATTATGTTCGCTGAGTGCTTTTCCCACCTGACTCTGTTTTTGTTGGGCATTTCCTGGTTTATTATAAAGGATATTACAAAGAATACAGATGAAGAAATGAACAGGGCAAGGTGTAGAGAATGGGGTGTGGAGCTTCTGTGCCCTCCCTGGGCTCACCACCGTCCAGGAACCTCCAGTAAACGTTGGTGTTTCCCTGAGTTCTGTGAGCGCACCAGCAAATTAATAAAACCCAAAGAAGTGGTTGTGGGAATCCCAACTTAAAGCTAGTCAGTCAGAAGTTCCAGAGGCCTGGACTTTCTACTGGTGTCTTATGAGCGGGGTGGTCTTGTAGGACTGAGCCCTCAATCTCTGGGATCTGATGCTGTGTCCAGGTAGGCAGTGTCAGAACTGAGCTCAGCTGGAGTTGCTGGGTGTGTGGGAAAACAAAACAAAACAAAAACCACGTGTGGTTTTCAATAAGCCCTCAAGCCACATTTTCTGTTAGACAAAAAGACGTCAGTGGATATAGTGCTCCCAACACGGTGAGGTCTTCTGTGTTGATTGTTGTTGTGTGAAAGAATAGAAAAAAAGAGTTTATGTTTTCCCACTCAATATGCAAAGTGGTACAGTCACTTTGGTAAACAGTTTGGCAGTTTCTTTCTCTTTTTTTCTTCCTCTTGTTCTTCTATTTTTTAAACTTTATTTATTTATTTATTTATTTATTTTTGAGACAGGGTCTCCGGAGTCTACCCAGGCTGGAGTACAGTGGCATGATCACAGCTCACTGCAACCTCCTGGGTCCAGACGATCCTCACACCTCAGCCTCCTGAGTATCTGGAACTACAGATGTGCGCCACCATACCCAGATAATTTTTGTAATTTTTGTAGAGATGGTGTCTTGCTATGTTGCCCAGGCTGGTCTTGAACTCCTGGGCTGAAGGGATCCACCCACCTCGGCCTCCCAAAGCGCTGCGATTACAGGCGTGAGCCACCCCACCCAGTCAAGCCTATAGTTTTAAAATATATGGCCTCGTAAGAACAACACGAACATAAGTAAAACTATAACTGTAGGCAGGAAGAACTGAAAAAACATTCCTAGCAATGGAAAAGAACGAATAAAGAGAAGAAAAGGGTGGCTCATGCCTGTAATCACAGCACTTTGGGAGCCTGAGGTGGGTGAATCTTTTGAGGTCAGGAGTTCTAGACCAGCTTGCCAACATGGTGAGACCCAGTCTCTACTAAAAATACAAAAATTAGCTGGGCATGGTGGCACATGCCTGTAATCCCGGCTACTCGGGAGGCTGAGGTAGGAGAATCGCTTGAACCCAGGAGGCAGAGGTTGCAGTGAGCCGAGATTGCACCACTGCACTCCAACCTGGGCGACAGAGCGAGACACTGTCTCAAAAACAATAAATAAAAAAAATAAAGAGAAGAAAAGGAAACTCTAGCGGCCCACTGGGCAGTTGTGGGCCCAAGGGAGAACTGGAGATTTGAAGAGCAATTTCTGGTGACGAGGAAACCGCCCCCGCCCCCCCGCCTCGCCACGGCAGGCAGCACAGTGAGGCAGTATCCTGGGGACAGAGGTGTGTCATAGCAGCAGTGACTCGTCCAGGGCGCCCTCTCCTACGGAAAGAGGTCATTCAAAAGTCACCTTTGTCGACTGTCTTTGAGTCCGTCAGTTTGAATCTGAAAGTAACTGACAGTTACTTTCCAAACGTCAGGGTTTGAGGTAAAAGACTGGAAAGCTAGTTTTGAAAGTATATCCCACCCTCAACCCTGCTTCACCCAGAAACAGGTGCTTGACATGAGTTCAGAGGGGTGAGCAGCTCCTATTCAGGGAGAACAAGAACCCCCATTCAAGGAGAACAGTGGGTTCTCCTAGGAGGGGTGGCCAGTTTCAGCTACCTCTGAGGAGTCCCTCTGGGACGCCATCCTTCATTAAAAGTTTTTCTCCTTGAATTTGGAGAAATCCACATTTTCTATTAGACAAAAAGACGTCAGTGGATATAGTGCTCCCAATATGGTGGAGACTTGCACATGACTGGGAGTGTTTAGCCACTTGGAGGTTTCATCCTTTTTACCAGTCCCAGCATGGGGAAGACGTACTAATACGCGTTTCCTTCTATCCCTCTGATTTGAGTCAAAACCTCATATCTGTCTAACATAATCCTGGAAAGGATCAGATGCAAAAGTAATGGGGAACTAATAGACAAGACCCAATGTATTGGTCAATAAATCCAAGAGGAGTCTTTGGCTTGAATTTGAAGTCAAATATAATTTGGAAATTATATATTTCCAAATATATAAGAAAAATATAATTAACTTCTTGATTTCCTCTTCTTGGTAACACATCCCCTCTGGTTGAGTCTCTAAACCAGAGTGGATAAATGAAGGCAGCTCCTCCAATTTCACCTGGAAATTCAGGGAAGGGAGAAAGAAGGTGGAGGCTGAACAGAATCAAACTCTATGATCGTTGTCTTTCCTTAGATGGCACAAGTGGTGGGAAGAGTGGAACCAGGAGGGAAAAAGTTTAAGGAAATATTTAAGCAGTAGTGTGCAGGAAGAGGGATGAGGGGAATGAGGTAGGAGGCTGCCAGGCAGAAGGAAATACCCAGATGCTCTCTGAGCAAGAGGAACTCAGGATACATATAACCAACTCACATTTCTTTGCAGAGCTGCTCCCAGTCCCAGCACCATGCACTGCTGCCTATGGAGATATATCATTGTTGCTGTATCCTTAGTCATCCTGGGCTTCATTCTCCAAGAGAATAAAGAGGAGCATGTTGAATACAGTGTATTATGGTGAGTACCAGAGATCAAGGCTGCAGCAGTTTGTCAACCCTTCAGTAGGAGGGAGTTTTTCAAATTTGTGAAATACTCTAGTCTCATCATAGGAGTTCTAAGGAGAGAACACGTGAAGAATCATGAGAATGTCAGGAAAAAAAAAAATATATGAACCAGTCTTGAAATATGGGTGGGATTTGACTAGGGGAAGGGAAGAAGAAAGGGGACTCCAGGTGTGGAGAGGGCAGTGCACGCCCACCTCTAGAGGACCAGGCTGACTGGCAGGACCAGCAGGCGATGAGGACCTGGGTGCTGACCACTTCCCAGCCAGGACCTAGCATGGAGATGTTATTTTTCCTATTTCTCACATGAAGGATTGGAAATAACTTCCCTAAGTGGACAACATCTGCAAGTGAGTAGACCAAACCCCACACAGTTCCTGGCCAGGCTTCGAAACCCACATTTTTCATAAAACACCTCAGACCAGCTGGAGCTAAGCACAGGGCAGGTGTGGGGAGTGGTTCAGAAATGTGTGCGTGGTCAGATTTGAGCAAAAGAAAGGACTCTAGAATTGAGGCACTGGGGCCTATGTTCCTTGAGGACAGGGCCAGGCATTGGGCACCAGCACATCTCACAGAACCTAGCCCAGGCCTAAGCCGAGGTAGACGACACTGGCCAGCCTGACAACGGTGGGGTCAGGCAAGTGCTTTCTCCACACAAGCCTTGGCCCTTCCCGCAGGCACTCCACACAAACCTGGGAGCCCCACTTCCCAACTGAGGACCCATGGCTGGTGCTGGAAAACCCAGCATGTTCTCATGATGAGGTGAGGAGAGCGGTTCCCTGAGCCCCACACTTGGCTTCCCTGGGCACAGGAAGCTGGGGCTTGCCCAACCTGTCCTAAAAGGGAGATCTGCTCCTCAATTGTCTCCAGAGAATCTGGGGGTGAACCTCAGGACTGACATATCTTATCCTCAGAAGGAAAAGAAGGACATAGCTTGGCAAATAGCTGTCAAACAAATCAACTACGAAAGCAAGAACCATCTGTGAACCTTCAAGGAGATGCAGAGAGACTCCCCTCTTCTCCAGCATGCCAGCTACCAATTCCTGGCTGGAGCCCCTCCCCAGGAAAAGAGTGAGTACCTGGGAGGGAGTGGTCTGACTAGGAGAGGACCAGACAGAGTATTTTAGCCAGAAAAGGGAAGGAGGGTTGAAAAGGGAAGTGACTGGCATGTGGCAAGGAAAGGCTGTGCTCTGAGGCTGTGGAATTTGGTCCATGTTATAATCCTGAGTGTGTTTTCCTCCCATCTGGTTACCCCTTGAATGACCAACAGGACAGAAGGGCCATAGCGACCCTGGGAAGGAACTGTTCCATAGTGAAGCTCAGTCATGGTCGGCCCCCGGGGTGGGGGGAAGACAGGAAGGGGAAAGAGCCAGGGGGAGCCATGGGAAAAGGCATTGGGTAGAGGGCAGGCAAAGAGGGCCGTGTGGACTTCAGATCTCAGTGCACTAGACTGTTGGACCCTTGGGTTTACATAGATTTCCAGAGATCCTCTAATCCAGGTCTGGTTGAACTATGGTAGCTGAAATAACGCTGAAGGTCAAGGCCAGGCTAAGACACTTTGCCAACCCAGCAATTTGCCTTTGGTGACCGGCAGCCTTGCCCATGAGAGAGAGCTTTGCCCTTCATAAAGCTTCCCCAAGAGCCTTCCAAAATACTGACCACAATACTCTGACCAAATAAAATCACATCACAATTTCTGGTCAGATATTAACCTCCCATCTGGACTACATGCCCCAGGAAAAGGAATGTGAATCGTCACTGGGATCGGCATAAGGGGAAGACCTGGGAGGAGAGTCCTAGGAATTCTTCAACAGCCTGAAGTGCTCATGTGCCTCGTGTCTCCCCCAGGACTGCGGACCGTGGGGATTGCGTCAATGCAGCATCCTCGTGGGAGCTACCTCTTGGACACCCTGCAGTCCGTGTTCCAAGCTTCCTCAGAACGTGAGCTGGAGTATATCGTGGTGCTGGTCCACCTGTCAGGTCCTGACCCTGAATGGCTCATCCAAAGAGCTGCCAATATTTCAGCTCTCTTCCCAGCACAGATTGGGGCCGGGAAGCTGCTGGTCATCCATGGTGGCTCCCCTCTCCCAGGAGATCTGAGTGACGTTAATCACTCGTCACCCTGTGAAGCCCTCTATTCCAGGCAGAAAGTAGACCATGCCCTCCTCATGAACTTTGCTAGCAACCTCTCTGATTACTTTATTTTGTTGGAAGATCATATTCATTGCACCCCCAAATTCGCTGCTGCCATCTCTCCGGCATTATCAGCCTGGAAAGAACTACCTTGGGTGATCCTGGAGTTCTCCCACCTGAGCATCTCTGGGAAAGTTTTCTGCACCAGTGACCTCTCCCGCCTGACCGCTTTCTTGTTCCTCTTCCATAAGGACACTCGTACTCACTTGCTTCTCTCTGAATTTTGTCTTCTCTTGGCCCAGAATGTTCCTATTCATTTCAGTCCCTCTGTCTTCAACTACACAGGCGATTATTCTATGTTTCATGAATATGCTTTCCTGTGGAGAAGGACAGGGTCTTTGGTGAACCAGATAACCCTGTTGCTACTGTCCTCACTGACATGGTGTCAAGGTTGGCTGTGATTCCACAGTACACTTATACACTGAACAAGAAGGGCTACTCTACCTTAGATCCTTTGAAAGGAAACTACTTGACCGTGATTCTGGACAGGCCATAAAAAGTCACCCGGATAGTGGTGCTGACAGGCTCTGACAAAGACGGGAGGTACCGACTGCAGCAGGGGCAAGTGGAACTGGGCTATGACCCTGGGAGGATCCCAAATCCTGTGCTCGCTATGCCCTGCTAGGGCCACTGGCGGGAGGAAATTTGGACCAGATAGTATTTTTCGAAGAAGAGTCTGTGGAAGCGTTGAGTTGTATCTGGCTGTTGGTGTTGACATCTCAAGAGTCTTGGCTCCTGATCAAGCAGATTAAAGTCTGGACTGAGCCTGATGAAGAGGAGAGATAGAAGGCACAATGGGGATTCTGGAAGAGTTGGGTTTGAGAATGGAATCTATGTGGTTGGGAAGAAATAAATCCAAGCACTGATCCAAGTCTACTCATTCTTAGTAGGGTGGTCATATAATTTATTATTCAAACTAGGACACTTTTTTTTTTTTTTTTTTGAGACAGAGTTTTACTCTTGTTGCCCAGGCTGGAGTGCAATGACACAATCTCGGCTCACTGCAACCTCTACCTCCCAGGTTCAAGCGATTCTCCTGCCTCAGCCTCTTGAGTAGCTGGGATTACAGGCATGCGCCACCACATCTGGCTAATTTTTTTTTTGTATTTTTAGTAGAGACAGAGTTTCTCTATGTTGGTCAGAGTGGTCTCGAACTCCCGACCTCAGATCATCCGCCCGCCTCGGCCTCCCAAAGGACTGGGATTACAGGTGTGAGCCACTGCGCCCAGACCATACTAGGACACTTTTGATAGTGAAAGGAAGCACTCTTAAAAACTGCACTAGAACAACAGATGTAAACCAGGACTGTCCCGGGCAAGATGAGATGTAATGTCTCCCTAATGATGAGTTTTAAGAGAGATAACACAGTCTAATGAGGGGTGAAGCCAAGACAATATCCTTCTGGCTTCCAAACGCCAGGGATAGGGAAGGTGTCACCGTGGACTGCCTTGTTCTTGTCTACATACAGGTATAATGCTCTCGGATCTCTCTTTGAGGAAATTATTGCTCTATCTATCTAGAGTTGGCAATAGTCTTAATAGTATATTCATGAGGGTGAAACTGACTTTATTCCACATCTGTAGACCCAAACCTCCAATGTACCAAGGTTGAGACCTTTCCAGAGCAAAGTTTGCTGAGCCGGGTTTCAGGAATGGATGCTTCAAGTATCCGTTAATTTCCTATAACTATGTGCAAAATTTGTTGTAGGCTCATAAGTGCATTTTTTCTAAGGAGAAGATACTTTACTTTCATTCAAGCATCGATATGTTCCATATCTTCTCCTAAAAAGTAAAGAATAGGGCCGGGTGCAGCAGTGGCTCACGCCTCTAATCCCAGCACTGGAGGCCAAGGCGGGCGGATCACAGGTCAGGAGATTGAGATCATCCTGGCTAACACGGCGAAACACTGTCTCTATTAAAAATACAAAAACATTAGCCGGGCGCGGTGGCGGGCGCCTGTAATCCCAGTTACTCCGGAGGCTGAAGCAGGAGAATGGCGTGAACTCCGGAGGCGGAGCTTGCAGTGAGCCGAGATAGCGCCACTGCACTCCAGCCTGCTGGGTGACAGAGCGTGACTCCGTCTCAAAAAAAAAAAAAAAAAAAAAAAGAGTTAAGAATAGCTAAACCAGCAGCTGTAACAATATGTCACTTACAGTAGAATCTTTCTATTTCCATTGGAAAATAAGAAGTTAGGCTCACACATTATTTCATGTATCTAATCAGCAAATATCTGGATGCATTCTTAGTGTTGGATTTTTTAAAGATGGTATGAATAATAAGATGAACTAAATATTGATGACACCAGTAAGGGACTTAACAGCAAAAATCAGTAATCACGCCTGGAATCCCAGCACTTTGAGAGGTGAAGAGGGCGGATCACCTGAGGTCAGGAGTTCAAGACCAACCTGGCCAACATAGTGAAATACCATCTCTACTAAAAACACAAAAATTAGCCGGGCACAGTGGCATGGGCCTGTAATCCCAACTGCCAGGGAAGCTGAGGCAAGAGAATCACTGGAACCCCAGAGGCAGAGGCTGCAGTGAGCCAAGATCCTGCTACTGCACTTCAGCCTGGGCCACAGAACAAGACTGTATCAAAAAAAAAAAAAAAAAGGAAGAAGAAAAGAAAACAAAAGAAAGAAATTAGTAAACGTTGGTTGGGCATGGTGGCTTATGCTTGTAATCCCAGCACTTCGCGAGGCCAGGGTGCCACTTAAGGTTAGGAGTTCGAGACCAGCCTGGCCAACATGGTGAAAACCCATCTCTACTAAAAACACAAAAATCAGCCAGGCGCCATGGCACGCATCTGTAGTCCCAGCTACTCGGGAGGCTGAGGCAGGAGAATCGCTGGAACCCGGGAGATGGAGGTTACAGTGAGCCAAGATAGTGTCACTGCACTCCAACCCAGGCAACAGAGTGAGACTCCCTCTCAAAAAAAGAGAAAGAAATTAGTAAATGTACAGGTAGCTAAAATTGTTTCAATTTCCATTGAAACAGTAATTGCTCATTTGTGTATAGATTTCTAAATATATAACCATATACAGAAGTGTTCATTTTAAAATATATTTTATATGTGTATACATATTTATATATTGAGAAAGAGGGATGTTAATCAGGGTTAAAGTGTTCTAACCTTCTAGTTCAATGAAAGAGTAATCATATTAACTTTAAACATTAAATAAAAATATTTGTGTTAAATTTTTAGGATAATTCCAAATGCTAGAAATAGTGTTTAATGCCCAAACTAGAGAGAAAAAGAAATGTAATGGGGAAGAAAAGAAAAACTCAACCAATCCCCCACTAAAGGCAATAAAGAGGGAATAAAAATAAAAATAAAAGGTATGCGATGTGATATACATCACATTTGAGATTTTAAAAATCCATAAATATAAACATAACTTATTAAAAACAGAAATTAACTACATGCATTAGCCAAAAACAGATTGTCTCACTCAATTAGAAAACAAATACAGCTTTTCCTATCAAAAAGAGGCTCGCTTGAATCTAACAACTTAAAAAAAGTTGGAGGTGACAGCATGGAAAATTATACAGGTATATCTTGCTTTATTGCATTTCACTTTAAAATGTTCTTTGCAGATATCGTGTGCTTTACAAATTGAAGGTTTGTGGCAACCCTGCATTGAGCAAGACTCTCAGCACCATTTCCTCAACAACATATGCTCACTTAATGTCTCTGTGTCACATTTTGATAATTCTCAAAATATATCAAACTTTTTCATTATTATTATTATATCTGTCACGGTGATCTGTGGTCAGTGATCTTTGATGTTACTCATGTTATTTTGGGGTGCCATGAACTAACCCTTATAAGACAGCAAAGTTGATCAATAAATGTATGTGTTCTGACTGCTCCAACAACCAGCCAGACACTCCCCATCCCTCTCCTTCTCCTTGGGCCTCTCTACTCCCTGAGACACAATATCGAAATTACACCAACTGGCCAGGTACAGTGACTCACACCTGAAATCCTAGCACTTTGGGAGGCTGAGACCTGAGGTCAGGGGTTCGAGATCAGCCTGGCCAACATAGTGAAACCCCATCTCTACTAAAAATATGAAAATTAGCCAGTGGTGGTGCATGCCTGTAATCCCAGCTACTCAGAAGCCTAAGGCAGGAGAAGCACTTGAACCTGGGAGGCAGAGGTTGCAGTGAGCCAAGATCGCACCACTGCAGTCCAGCCTGGGCAACAGAGTAAGACTCCATCTCAAAAAAAAAAAAGAGCCGGGGGGATGCAGTGATCATGCCTTGAATCCATGCACTTTGGAGGCAAGATGGGCAGATCACCTCGAGGTCGGGAGTCAAGATCCAGCCTGACCAACATGGGAAAATCCATCCTACAAAAATGACAAATTAGCCAGGTGTGGTGGATGGGCACCTGTCAATCCCAGTACTTGGGGAGGCTGAGAGCGGAGAATCACTGGACCCAGGACGGCAGAGGCTTTGGTGAGCAGAATCGTCCATTGCACTCCAGGCTGCGTCAAAAAGAATGAAACTCAATTCAATAAAAAGAAAAAAGGAAAGAAGAGGAAGGAAGGAAGAGGAAAAAGAGAGGAGAGAAGAAAAAAAGAGAAAGAAAGAAGAGGAAGGAAGAAGAAAGAAGAAGAAAGAAAGAAAGGAAGGAAGGAAGGAGGAAGGAAGGAAGAAGGAAGGAGGAAGGAAAGGAAGGAAGCGAAGGAAGGAAGAAAGAAAGAAAAGGGCAATTACACCAGTTAATAAACCTACACAAGCCTCTAGGTGTTAAAGTAAAAAGAATCACATGTCTCTCTCTTTAAATCAAAAGGCAGAAATGATGAAACTTAGAGAGGAAGGCATGTTGAAAACCAAGACAGGCTGAAAGCTAGGCCTCTTGTGTCAAACAGTTAGCTGAGCTGTGAATACAGTTAAAAAGTTCCTGAAGGAAATTTAAAGTGCTCCTCCAGTGAACATCTGAATGATAAGAAAGTGAAACAGTCTTATTGCTGATAGGGAGAAAGTTTGAGTAGTCTGGATAGATCAAACCAGCCAAAACATTCCCTTAAGCCAAAGCCTAATCCAGAGCAAGGCCCTAACTCTCTTCAATTCTATGGAGGCTAAGAGATGTGAAGAAGCTGCAGAATAAAAGTTTGAAGCTAGCAGAGATTGGTTCATAAGTTTAAGGAAAGAAGCCCTCTCCATAATGTAAAAGTGCAAGGTGAAGCAGCAAGAGCTGAAGTGTAGCAAGATATCCAGAAGATCTAGCTAAGATCACTGATGAAGGTGGCCACACTAAACAACAGATTTTCAACGTGAATGAAACAGCCTTCTGATGGAAGAAGATGCCATCTAGGACTTTCATAGCTAGAGAGGAGAAGTCAATGCCTGGCTTCAAAGCATCAAAAGACAGGCTCACTCTCTTCTTTGGGACTAATGCAGCTGGTGGCCTTTAAGTTGAAGCCAATGCTCATTTACCATTCCAAAAATCCTAGGGCCCTAAAGAAATATGCTAAATCTTCTCTACCTGTGCTCTAGAAATGGAATAACAAAGCCTGAATGACAGCACATCTGTTGATAGCATGGTTTGCTGAATATTCTAAGTCCACTGTTGAGAACCGTTGCTCAAAAAAAAAAAAAAAAAAAAAAAAGATTCCTTTTAAAACATTATTGCTCATTGGCAAAGCACCTGATCACCCAAGAACTCTGATGGAGATATATGAGAAGATTCATATTGTTTTTATGCCTGCCAACACAACATCCATTCTGTCATCTATGGATGGATCAAGGAGTAATTTTGACTTTCAAGTCTTATTATTTAAGAAATACATTTAATAAGGCTATAGTTTTTTTGGTTTTGTTTGTTTGTTTTTGAGATGGAGTCTTGCTTCATCACTCAGGCTGGAGTGCAGTGGCACAATCTCGGCTC